CCCCAAAACCCCAAAACCCCAAAACCCCAAAACCCCAAAACCCCTCAAATGAGTATCAAAATAAATATCAAGGTAAATAAATCTATTTCAAATAAAAGCATGTATAATATCATTTTGAACATAAGTCAATCCATCAAATATCAAAGTACTGAACTCTGATAAATAAGGTATATAAATCTAGCTGTATCTTTTGTACTTAACCTGATATCCGATGAATAAAAGAGAGAAAATTATAGCTACAGTCAGCATTCTATTAGTAATCTTATCCATTTTCTCATTTTCTTATTCTAAATCATTAAATTTCACTCTCAGGCAATCTATAAATATCATTGCTAAATAAGGATTTACCTACTTTCAGATTATATATCTTGGATAATGTTAGAGTAAAATTTAAATGGTTTCTTAGGCTTTAGATTCTCTGTCTTTAGATTTGTATCCTATTCCTCTGCATTTTCTTATATAAGCTATGAATACTCCCTCTCATCTTAAATTGTTTCCTTAAGTTCTTAGTTTTCATCTAGAAGCACTTCCTACTCTAATTTAATTTCTTGTAAATTTTGCTAGTATTATAAGACTTGATTTTTTAGATTCCTATTTAAATCTTCTTCCTAATTGACTTCACTTTAGATTTTAGCTAATTCTTAGTCAAATCTTTAAGTTTACTCATTTTACTACTTTTCAATTTCAATTCGATCTTCGCTACTTTGATCAATTTTAGTTTGATATTTGATTAGTTACTTCTTAATTTATTCTACTAATTTCTTATTATTTGAATTCTAGCAAATTGTTTCTATTATTTCCTTTGACTTTAAAATTGCTAATGAGGACTCGTGATTGATTTCAGATACTGTTTTATCTATTTCTTTTTGTAAGATTACAGCTTGGCTATTTGCAATATTGTCTAATCTTACTCGAGACTCTGCTTGTTTTTCTTTTAATTTCTTTGCAAGTATTGTCTACAGCTAAATAGACTATAGGGTGCTTTTAGTGGCTATCTACTCATGAATTTTCTATCTAAACTACTCAATCAACTCTATCTTTTCTTCAATGAAGTTCTGGTCTAAAAGAGTCTCGAAATCATCATCAATCAAGCCTAGTTAGATCAGTTCAGCGTCCTCCAATACTTCTCTATCCTACTACCTCTCATCTTCCAAGTCGAATTTTTCACTTAGTATCTAAACTTATTCTTAGAGGATTTATGCTTTTTCAGCTACTACTTATTAATATTCAGTTTCACTCAGGAATCCAATGATGTCATCGTATAAGTACTTATGATCCTTTAGCTCTAAGTCTTTTTCAGTAATATAGTTCTGCTAATTTTTAGTTTTTTATAAACTTTTGTCAATAGAAGTCTCCAAATCTTTGAGCTTCATTTCATTGTAAGAACAAGATTTCCTTATAGCACTCATTTAGCAATTAAAACTAATTTATTAGTTAATTTGATTGCATCCAATAATTAAAATTCTGATGATACTGGGGTTTTGGGGTTTTGGGGTTTTGGGG